CGCTATTCTCAGGTTTGCCAAGCGCCCATATGCTGCAGCAGTTATCTGGTTAATGTGTGCTTCTGGCGATGTACTCAGTATTATACTCACTCCTAGGTCTTTCTCCTTGAGTGAGGTTTGCAGCCTTTGGCCACCTAGCCTATACTCTGTCTGCAGTCTTCTTTGCCCTCCTCCGATCTTCATGACTTTGCATTTGGCGGGGTTAAATTCTAGGAGCCAGTTTCTGGACCACACATCCAGCCTGTCCATGTCTCTGTAGACCTGTCTGGTCTGTGTCTGATTTAATTCTCCTCATTAACTTCACATCATCTGCAGACAGGGACACTTCTGAGTCTATCCCTTCCGTCACGTCGATCACATATACCAAGAATAGCACTGGTCCCAGGACTGACCCCTGTGGGACCCTGGTCGTCACTGGTGCCCACTGTGATACCTCATCGCGGACCATGACTCGCTGTTGCCTTCCTGTTAGGTATTCTCTGATCCATTGCAGTGCCCTTCCTGTTATACATGCCTGTTCCTCTAGCTTCTGTACTAATCTCTTGTGAGGAACTGTGTCGAAGGCCTTCTTGCAGTCCAAGAAAATGCAATCAACCCACCCTTCCCTCTCATTTCTTACTTCAGTTACCTTGTCGTAAAACTCTAGTAGGTTTGTGACACAGGATTTGCCTTCCATGAATCCGTGCTGGCTGTCGTTTATAATCTTGTTCCGCTCCAGGAGCTCCACCATTCTCCTCCTGATAATCTTTTCCAAGACTTTGCACTATACACGTCAGTGACACTGGTCTATAATTTAGTGCTTCATTTCTGTCTCCCTTCTTAAAGATGGGGACTACATTTGCCTTCTTCCATACTTCAGGTAGTTGCCCAGTTTCAAGGGAAGTGTTGAAGATTTTGGTTAGTGGCACACGTAGTGTCCCTGCTCCCTCTCTAAGGCCCCACAGAGAGATGTCCGGTCCCACCGCCTTTGAGGTATAAAGGTCACTTAGGAGCTTCTCCACCTCCTCCTCAGTTGTGTGTAATTCATCCAACACGTGTTGGTATATCCCTTGTTGCTGTACGCCACTGTTTTGTCTTCCTGTTGTCCCTTCAGCCTCCACTGTAAATACTTCCTGAAATCTCATGTTGAGCTCCTCACATATCTCCTGGTCGTTTCTTGTGAGCTCCCCACCTTCTTTCCTCAGCCTGATTACCTGGTCCTTGACTGTTGTCTTCCTCCTGATGTGGCTGTAGAGTAGTTTCGGGTCAGACTTGACTTTCGATGCTATGTCATTTTCATACTGCCGCTGCACCTCCCTTCTTATCTGTGCATACTCATTTCTGGCTCATCAACTAATCTCTTTATTCTCCTGAGTCCTTTGCCTTCTGTACTTTTTCCATTCTCTAGAGCACTTAGTTTTTGCCTCCCTGCACCTTCAGGTAAACCAAGGGCTCATTCTGTCCTTCCCATTATTTCTGTTACCCTTGGTAACAAACCTTTCCTCTGCCTCCTTGCATTTTGTTGTTACAAAGTCCATCATTTCGTTTACTGATTTTCCTACCAAGTCCTGTTCCCACTGAACCTCCTGCACGAAGGTCCTCATTCCTTTGTAGTCCCCCCTTTTATAGTTTAGCTTTTCCCTTTCTACTCCTGTTACCCTCTCCATTTTTAGCTCCACGCTGTATTCAAAGCTCATAGGTACGTGGTCACTAGCTCCAAGGTGGGGCCTTTCATATGTGATGTGCTCAATGTCTGAGCTACTCAGGGTGAACACAAGGTCCAGTCTTGCTGGTTCATCCTCCCCTCTCTCTCTGGTAGTATCCCTAACATGTTGGTGCATGAGATTTGCCAGCACCACATCCATCATCTTGGCTCTTCATGTTCTGGGACCCCCATGTGGCTTCAGGTTTTCCCAGTCAATCTCCCTGTGATTGAAGTCGCCCATGACCAGTAACTTCGCTCTTCTTGAGTGGGCCCTTCTTGCCACTTCAGCTAGAGTGTCCACCATTGCTCTGTTGCATTCATCATATTCCTCTCTTGGTCTCCTGCAGTTCTGTGGTGGGTTATACATAACTGCAATGACTACCTTGTGTTCCCCTGACTGAACTGTACCTACTATGTAATCCCTTTCTCCAATCTCGTCCATACTGTCCATTTCTTGATAACCCCACCGGTTTTTTATTAGTAGTGCAACCCCTCCTCCCCCCCTGCTCCTTCTATCCTTCCTCAGGATCTGATATCCGGGTGGGAAGATTGCATCTGTTATTATCCCAGTGAGTTTCGTTTCTGTAACCGCTACGATGTCTGGGGACAACTCCTTGATTCTTTCGTGCCACTCCTCACATTTATTCGTTATTCCATCTGCGTTCGTGTATCAAACCTTCAACTTCTTTTCAATAACTGTGGTCTGGGGAGAGAGGTGGGTTGGGGGAGCAGGGGCCTATAGGGGGTTGGTGTGGGGGTGGGGTCTGTGGTGTGGGGTGTGGGGGCAGAGGGTCTATGGGGGGTTTCAGTGGGGGTGGTAGTGAGGGGGATGGGGGAAGAGTGCCTATGGGGGTTACAATGGGGGAGGGGGTTGTGGTGAGGGGGATGGGGATAGAGGGTACAGTGTGTGAGTTGCTGTGGTTACTGTGAGGGTGGGGACTGTAGGACTGTCTGTGCTGTATCGAGTGGTAGTTCCACAGGATTTTATTTGGATTATTAACCCGGAGGATTAGTAACTCAGGATAACATAAATCCACTGCATGTTTTTTTTTTTTTTTCATTGGGATCTTTTGAGATCCGCTGCATAAGGTCGCTGCCATTACAACCCAACTTAGACAATTACCTTACAAACAAGCGAGAGAGCACACACGTGGTCTGTCTGGATTTGGGTTACAAATTATTAGTATTCACCTCTCACGCAGGCGCGGATATAAGGGGGGGGCCCAGGGGGCCCGGGCCCCCCCCCTTTGGCCCTCTTTGGGCTTTGGCCCAGTGTCGTAGCTGGGTTTTCATTTTGGGGCGAGGGGAAGGAGGGGCCAATCCTTTACATGGCGGGGGCATGCTACTGACCCTGCCAGTCTCAAATGCAGAAGCCGAACGATCGTTCTCAGCCCTGAAACGCCTGAAGACATACTTGAGGAGCACCATAGGTCAGGATCGCCTCAACGGCCTCGCACTACTCTCCGTCCATAACAATGTACATGTTCCTGTTGATCGTGTGATCAACAAGTTTGCGGAAAGGAACCGCCGTCTTCTCTTTGCTTAGGCTGCAGTGTGATTAATCCTTTTTTAATAAGATACAAAATTCCTCACATTGTAAGGTCAGTGTTTTTTTTTCTCAGAAAAATCGGCCCTCTCATTTGGATCCGAAGAGAAACACTGGCACCTAGAGCAGATGGTTATGCCCATTCATTTAGGTCAGTCCGCCAGTAATTAACAAATAAGAATCCCGTTAGTGGAGAAACGGTAATGCCAATGCTCTTTAAACAACCGAAAATTCTGCCGTCGGGCCCCCCCCCAAACTTTGTTCCTAGATCCGCGCCTGCTCTCACGGTATTTTGTGGATATAATACGCTGCATAATCCTACGGGTTTAGCGCTTCCCCTTGATTATAATAATAATAATGTGGATATAATAACTATAATAATAATAATAATAATAATAATAATAATAATAATAATAATAATAAACAATAACCATAATTAAGTTACCATAATAATTAACAGTAACCATAATAATAGTAATAAATTACGAATAGAGATTTTGAAACTCTTGGTCAATGAAACGTAAACCAATAGAATAAAAGGGCAATTACTGAATGCTGGTCATGGCGACACTCGGCCATTCTTTATTTTATTTTATTTATTTATTTATTCTTTATTTTAGTGGCCCGGTGGCCTGGTGGCTAAAGCTCCCGCTTCACACACGGAGGGCCCGGGTTCGATTCCCGGCGGGTGGAAACATTCCGGCACGTTTCCTTACACCTGTTGTCCTGTTCACCTAGCAGCAAATAGGTACCTGGGTGTTAGTCGACTGGTGTGGGTCGCATCCTGGGGGACAAGATTAAGGACCCCAATGGAAATAAGTTAGACAGTCCTCGATGACGCACTGACTTTCTTGGGTTATCCTGGGTGGCTAACCCTCCGGGGTTAAAAATCCGAACGAAATCTTATCTTATCTTATCTTAGGATATTTAGTGTACACTGGAATAAATTGTTATTTGTTTTTTTTTTCACTCTGTCTACATGCCCTTCAAGGGAGATGCTCTGATGTCAGTGAGGGGCTCTTGATCCAGGAAAGTGCAGCAGTCTTCTTCCTTGGATCGAATCTGACTGCCGTCCATTCCCGATGTGCTGTATAACCCCTACGGCTTTAGCGTTTCCTGTATTGCATTAAAGTATTTTCTTTGTTGTAATTTGTCGGTATTTACATTCTATTCCGGTTATAAGAAAAAACAAATTCCTTGAATGTGGGTAACAGTGGTGAACGTTAGGGGCACGTCCGTTCCTCTGTTATCTGTTATTTTCCCACTATAATCTACCTTATCCATAATTACTATCACATTTACTTTACTTTCTTAAGTTGAAGTCCAGGATCTTGACTTAATTCATGTTATAACTTAACACATCTTCGATGATTGTTGTTGTAGAGGCGTGACCAAAACTGACTTTTACAACAACAATTGTCATCAAAGATGTGTTAAGTTATACCATGAATTCCCCTCAAGGAAGGTTCCTTGATGTTGGTGAGGGGCTCTTGATTTAGGGAATTGGATCTGTGCTCCAGTTCCCCGAATTAAACCTGAATGCCTTCCACATCCCCCCCCCCAGGCGCTGTATAATCCTCCGGGTTTAGCGCTTCCCCCTTGATTATAATAATAATAATAATAATATTATACCATGAATTAAGTCAAGATCCTGGACTTCATCTTATGAAAGCAAAGTAAATGTGATAGTAGTTACTGATAAGGTAGATTAGTGGGAAAATAAACATGATATCAGGAGACGGAAACTCCTCTGCCTCTTAACGTTTCTCACTTCAGTATTAACTGTGCTGTGGTGAGGGGAGGATCGCTGCTCACTCCGCTCCTCCATTATTGACAGACCATTTAGTCTAAGTAAATTTATACTTAAGTCGGAATATATGCCAGTTTGTAAACCCATAACATGATGTCAAGTGAATGTTAATAAGAAAATTGCGCGGATAGATGTATTTTTAATTGAAGTTTTTTATTTTTTTTTTAGTATCTAATTATTGCTTATATGTGTGTAAGTAATAATGTGTTTCAAGAATGAATGAAAATAACTGAGGTATAGTGATTATAGTGGAAAAAGTGTAGGAAGTATTGAAGGCAAGCCTAGCAAGGTAACTAATACAGTAACCTTTACATCGAGGTTGTTTGAGGTTGGTGACTAGCAATCTAACTCGCATGGGCCAGTAGGCCTTCTGCAGTGTTCCTTCGTTCTTATGTTCTTATGTTCTTAGTACACAAACTATAACGTTCATTTTGCACCTTCACTAACCATCACCTTTATTCATCTCTTCCCTTAAAGTAATAATGTCCACCTTTACGCCTTATGAATCTCAAGGTTTAACGCGTGTTTGAAAGTATAATTGAAGTGTTGCCCTTCCCTTGGCTCACACCTGATAATCTAACATTCCCAAGGTGCTGTAAAGTCCTCACAAACTTAGGTAACCTAAGCTTAGGTTAGGTAAAGTTTGTCAGGAAACATGACAAGTGTTTCCTGATGCTGGCCTTAGTCATGTGATGACCCGCAGCTGGAGCTTTTGGTCATCTGACTGAGACCTTTCGCTGGCTTACCGGTCCACCCATTTAAAAATTAAGGTTATAATACAGGTAACTTAAGCTGACTAATATAAGCATTATAAAGCATGTATTACTGAAGTCTGTTTGGATTATTTTTAGTGTAATATACTTAGGAATCCTCCTATTAAATTAACCTTTGTTTACTTTTTAGAAATAAACCTGCAAGACAATAGGGGCTCTGCCTAAATTTTCAGCATTTAACGTCTAATAGTAGAAAATTTTTTTAAAGGAATAGTTCGACTTTAGACTTATTAGGAAAGTTTCATAAGCATATGGTGACCCCATTGTCCAGTAGGAAAGAATTTTAAGGGTAATTTTACCTCAGGTTTGAGGCAAATAGCCTGGTTATGGAAACGGTACTACGAAATTCAACGTTCTTAGATAAACTTCCTTACATGCTTAAAGAAATTGAAAAATTGTCTCAAGTTTCATGAATTACATTGAATATTAGAATATGAATAAATGAACGTTGCAGGGATATTTAAAAGTATTTTATTATTCCAGAAAAAGTTCTTCGATCAGAAATTCGGGCGCGAACACCACATCGGAAGGTGAAAAATTGTGTAGAGAAGCGCAAATCAGGAAGTGAAGAGGCTGATCAGGAAGTGGAGAACGAAGGGAAAGCTAGTGGTGAGGGAGTATGATTTCTAGGAAGAGTAGGGAGGACAACAGGAACGATTAAAGTAGATTTAAGTGGGGCAGGTGGTATAGCGACTGGAAGAGTAAGTACCAACAGTAGGAAGAGGAAAAGAAACAAGAACGGATGAGTAGGAGGCTGGAGAGAAGGAAGTGAAACAGTTCAGTTTATGAAGCAGCACAAGCAGCAGCAGCAGCAGTAGCAGAAGCAGCAGTAGCAGGAGGACCCTAGAACACTATGCATGCTAACGAGGCCTACGTGCACGATGAAGACACCAAGCCTCCCATCCAACAGGAGGTAAGCTGACGTAGTTTACTGATGTTGCATTGTGTTATTTTTATTATTGACGGTCCTCAAGCGAGGGAGGAAAACATGGGGAGGGGGGGTTGAAGGACGCTTGATAAAAGGAACTAAAGACCTCTCATTAGGATCAACCCCTCAAGGAAGATTCCTTGATGCTGGTGAGGGGCTCTTGATCTAGGGAACTGGATCTGTGCTTCAGTTCCCTGAATTAACCCTGAATACCTTCCATCCCCCCACAGGCGCTGTATAATTCTACGAGTTTAGCGCTTCCCTCTTGATTATAATAATCATTAGGATCAAACCTGATTGCCTACCATTTCCCAGGCGTTGTATGACACCTACGGGTTCAGTGCTTTCCCCCTAATAATAAAATAATAATAATAATAATAATAATAAATTATTTTTCAATTTACTTTATTCTTGATGGATATTTGTGACGATTTTTCGTAAGCGATAATACAGGGCAAATAGGCATACAGATAACATTTTGGTATGTATGCCTATTTAAAGTATTTATTTAGTGATCTGTTGTTGTCTTATGAACTGCACGCTATGCAGGATCGTGACTAATGACTCTTGAACTTCTAGGGGACTGTATTTTTTGACTTATTCACCAGGGAAAATCACTTAACACTTACTTGTCATGAGATGACTTGTTCATTTGTGGTGGCCCTGTGAGGGTGCGGAGCAAGCAGGTGTAAGGCAGCTGATGGCCTCTGGCGGGCCACGACAGCCACAACCACCGGTATGTTCATGCTGTACTGCTTTATGTCCACACACATACGCTACCTTCAAGGGAGGTTCCTTGATGTTCACGAGGGGCTTTTGTTCTAAGGAATTGGACCTGTTCCCCAGTTCCTGGAATCGAGCCTGAATTTTTCCCATTCCCCAGGAGCTGTACGACCCCTACGGATTTAACGCTTCCCCGTGAATGTAATATCACATACTCCTTCATAATTTGGATTCTCGAAAATCCAGTGAGATAATTTGGAATTGAGGTTAAAAATGACTAATCCCTTTAATGTTTAAGTGCCTGGTTATGATACATGTGAGCAAGCTGGACTGACTTGTTTGCAGTGAACAGGGTCCCAAGACTGAAACGTATTTATAATGTTTTAAGTGTTTGTTCATGTGTCAGTGTTTATCACCAACTATTTGAGTACTTAATTACCTATTTGTGGCTACAGGAGCAGAGAGATGCTCGTAGTGTCCCGTCTAAAGTAAGAAATTCTTGCAAATTATAAATTGCCACTAGTTGTAGCACATACTACCTATTTTATTCCATTATATTGTTCCACCAGTGTCTTACGACTCTGTTTTTTCTCAATTTACAACTGTGACGTCTTTATTTGAAAGTGCTGCTTAAAATTTATCGGTTCTTTCATGTCCTTGTATGACATATGGTTATCATGTCTCAACTTCTACATTTCGCTTGATTTAATTCATAAAATTCCATCTTCTGGTTGCGTTTTTTTCTATTATCTTCACTCACAAATTTCTTTCATATCGTTTGTTTAATTTCGTTTGCTAAGTTCTATTACATTTTCGCAAACTTTCATCGTATCTTTGCGTTTCTCTTGACTTCATTCACAAAGTTCCATCTTACGTTTCTCTAGACTGGTCTACAGAAGCTGGTTTAACTAGGGTCGCACTGCTGACTTTCTCCTTCCCCGCTCCGGACCAGTCGCATGCCAAACAGTTATATTTGGTCTCTCCAGTCCAGGTAAAAAAGTCACAGGAAAAAAAGTCTCGGAAGAAAAGCCACAATTTTCGGTAGGTGAAAAAAGGGCAGAGGAGAAAGTCACGATTGCTTGTTGTTGGATGTGGTGTCGGTAAACCTAATAGCCTGAGACCTGAATGTAGCATACTTGCATATGAAACTAGGCACATATATTTACAAATTATTAAGAAAGGGATCACAGTTAATTAAGCTTTTGTGGGTTCCCTCACATAGGCATCCAGGAGCATGACAAAATTAATGAGTTAGCTGAACAAACATTAAATAAAGAGAATGTTGAGTATAACTTTTGTGGAAAATTAAATTTACTTGGATGAATCTCATTAGATACATACCACTAAATGGCAACAAAGATAATTATTCTTTATCAAGGTTACAGAGACAAGTAGGAATTTTAGGACACCTAAGTCGCAAAAAATGTCCCCCTTCGATACCTACCATAATCTTTCTCTCCACAAGTCACTCTGGACCTATATTAATTTCAAATGAAATATACATCACCAGGAATTCTGGTAAAAACATTATAAATATGTGAACTGTATATTAAATTTAAAATGTGAATACATGTACATTGAAGGAGAATTTATAATAATAAGACTCCCCAATTAGTCTGGAGATTACAGTGTGTCGTACCAACCCCCCTGCCTAAATATGAAGAAAATACTGGCCAGAATCTCAACATAAATAGACATGACTTAGCTGGGGTTCCTGGACCGTCCTGTCCACTCGCCTAATGTTCACGTTATGCAGGACTGCAAATCCAACAATTTCGGCTCCTATTTGAGAGGTTTTAAGCCCAATATAACCCCTAGAGCGACGAAAATTTATGCACATTTCCTACCAAGCATAAAGATATTGTTTTTTGTTGGGTCCCTGGTCATGTTGACGTACAGGGCAATGAACAGGCAGACACTGCTGTGCGGTCAGCAGTAAATGACCTACCAATTTCATATAGAGGTGTTCCATTTCCGGACTATTTTGCTGTAATAGCTACCCACCTTCACACCCGTTGGCAAAAAAGTTGGTCTGCTCTGCTCAATAGCAAATTTTGTTTTATTAAACCGAATACAGGTTACTGGCCGTCTTCTTGTCACCAGTGTCGAGGTTGGGAGACTACTCTCTCCTGCCTTCGCATTGGCCATACTCGTCTTACTCATGGATATTTCATGGAGAGGCGCCCTGCTCCTCTGTGAGAATTGTCAGGTTCCATTATCGGTCAGCCACATTCTGTTAGACTGCCCACTTTATCAACGAGCACGCAGAATTTACCTCCGTCTTCGCCCCGCTGCTCTCTCTTTACCTTCCCTTCTCGCTGATGGACCCACCTTTCATCCGGACTCTCTCATTGACTTTTTGACAACAACTGACTTACTCCACAAACTCTGATGATACCTTCAGCCCTTTCTACCTCAATCTCTTGCTACCCTCTACCCCCGCACTATCCCCTGCCCCGCTGTTTTCTGTAACCTACTAATCATCCCTCCCCCTTCTGCCGCCCGATACCCTCGCTTCCTTCCCTACCCTGCAGCGCTGTATAGCCCTTGTGGCTTAGCGCCTCTTTTTGATTATAATAATAATAATAATTATGCACATTTCACTAACGTGCATGTACCACATTCAAAACTATGGCGTCTCCTCCCCAGCGACGCTGAAAAGAAACTGACAAAATGAGCTTGTAGAAACTAGAATTAGCAGATCCATTATCCATCATAATGAAATTTATCAAGTTAAACACATACAGCCACACCCCGCCCTACGTCATTAATTGGTTTCAAGAGCCGTGATGTAACCCGGATTTTGACGTAAACCGGACATATCAAAAATGCCTTAAAATGACTACAAACACCGTAAAACTAGCGTAAATAACTCACGAAAGAATGTAACTATTGCTAAATAGTTCGCCGAAGTTAAATTTCCTCTAGAAAAGTGGCGTAAACGCGAATTTGACGTAGGCCAAAATGACGTAAAGCGAGGTGTGGCTATATGGAAGAAAAGAGTAACAAGGTCAGTAGATAGCAAGATGTTAATGATATATTTGAAATCTTGAAGCTGTATCCACATTTTGCATCGATTAATCGTATGAACAAACTGTCTTTATAAAGACTACAACTCAGCTATGACCAATTTTTTGTGGTAATAAATCAGTTTTGAGATTGGATTCCTTACTGTATTATGTAAAATTACATGAATTAATTGTAAAATACGAAGTGACTAATTCTTTCCTAGTAATATAATAGTGCTCAGTGGGGAAGGGGGGGGTCTGGCAAAGAGCCATTCTGGCTTCTGTAATCCTGTTTGTTTTGCGCTGCCGCTCACAGGAACATGGACACGATAAACTAGTTGCTTAGGGGGCCTTGGCCCTTACCTAATTCGCAGTGACTTTTCTTGTGTTTTTTTTTTTAATATGACATTTGATTTCCTGTGTATTACCGTCACCAATAAACCATACCCCCGGCCGGGATTGAACCCGCGGTCATAGTCTCAAAACTAGCCCGTCGCGTTAGCCACTAGACCAGCTAGCCACAATAAGATTCATCCAACTAGGTATATTTCTACACCATAGGAAAGTTAGCACAGGCACCTCTGTGACCACAAATGCAAGTTTTTACAGACGAATCTCCAGCTAGCGTGGCCGTGACAAGGTTTGTATTCTCCGAATTGTTTGCAATGGCCTTTGGCCTTGCTTCAACCTGTTTTTCAACCCATTGAATTTACCAGCTAAGAGCTCTAATTCTATTTCGACTCATTTTAGAGCCTAGCTCTAGGGTACACTAACACTCCCGAAGATACCACTCACAACAGTCATCTATTATCTAAATACCTATTTGTGAGTCTAAGCGCTACCACAGACCTACCTACGAACCAAGCATGATTTGTATATGGAATTTTCTTCTACCACTTCTTTTTTCACTGCATTCCACTTTTTTTTTTTGCTACTCGAGACATTCCTGTGGCTTCTTCGTGTATTTCCACTTAGGTATCGTTGTCTTCAGTCGAACAGTCTACATTTTCAATATTTCTTAAGTATCATGTACGTATGGTACATACCTGGAGTATACCTGAAGAGGGTTTCGGGGGCCAACGCATATACGGCTGTGTATGAAAATCTATGTAACTATTTGTGTATACCTGAATCAACTTACTAAAGCCCCCGTGGCCCGGTCTGGGACCAGGTCTCGTGGTGGATCAGGCTGTTACTGATGGCCGCACGCAAACAAAAGTACGAACCCTAGCCCGGCTAGTCAGATACTGAGCC